TTTGATGTAGTGTTCCATGATTCATTGTTTGCGTATAACACCCAGTGCTCCATGCAGAACGTGCCCTCTTTAATACCCATCACCAGGCTAACCTAACAGGAAATGACAGATGTTGGCGGGGATGTGGAGAAAGGGGAACCCTCCTACACTATTATAGTTCTTTAATTACTAACTTTCTCTCTCTGCATGTTGCATTGTATCATATGTCCTGCCTCCCAATGTTGAGAGAGAGCTCTGGTCTAAAACTGTCTGGCCAAGATAGGGAGCAATACTGAAATTTTCTTCCTAAAATGCTTCAGAATGAATGGCACAATCTGAATGTATTGGTAGATATCTTATGCAGCTCTATCCATTATGACCCTCAGATGGACTGAGAGGGCCCTCTCCTAACAGAGGGGCCCCCGAGGTCCTTCCCATGGCATCAATGGAGCACCCCTGTCCACCCCTGTGGTCACAGGGTCTTCACAAGAGAAGGTGGCAAATGCTCCAGGGGTTGTATATTACTTAGGGTTGTTGGACCAGCTGAATTTGAATTTCAGATAAATATCATTTCATAGTACAAGTACATTTAATATATTATTTGCTGTTTATCTGAAATTCAAATTTAACTGGGCATCCTATATTTTTATTTGCTACATCTAGCAACTCTAATACTAATTAGTCCATAGAATGTAGAATTAAAGAAGAAAACAAACCACCAATAGTGTTAAGGCAGGGAGAGGACTAAAATTAGCTGAGGTTTGATAAGTGCCAGATTATGGAGATGACTCAGAGGATCTTTTTGTTTTCCCCCTAGGACTCACTAATTTCCTTTTCTCCACACCCCAGTTAGTGAAAATTGTCTTCACTGGGTCCAGGAATTTACATGCAACCAAGCTGACGTGGTTAGTCCTGCCTCTTTCCTTTACCCACTTGCATGAAAGTCTTTGGCTTCTTATGGAATGAGTAAAACGTTCTATCCTTACCTCAGTTTCATTGCAGCAGAACACATCTGAGAGTCTGTAGAAGCGAGGGTCCAGGTCAGCAACAGCAGGAGCTGGGTTGAACAATGTTTTCACTGTAAAGGAATGGAAAGGGGGTTCAGTGGTCACCATTTTTAACATGGTGCGCTTACAGTCACTAAGGGAAATCCCCTTGTGCAGCCATTTTCCCTATTAGATGAAAAATCAACTTAGAAAAGTCTGAAATCTCAATCTCCATGGTGACCTAGTACCAGCCCCTTCTTATTTCTATTTGCTCCGTTTTTCACTTTACAACATTTCAACTTCAAGGGCAAGCGACAGTATTACAACCAAGGTGATTACAAAGTTATGGCAAAGGCCAACAACATTAAAGAAAATTTTAAATGCTGTGGCATGAAAGGACATGTATGAATGTGAACATTCAGGCTGGTGTGAACATTTTTGTTCATAAATCCATTTTCCAGGAAAGAAAAAAAGAGATGTTAGGAAAGAAATAATGAAGAAATAAAAAATTTCCTGGTAAGAACAGGATGTAGGAAGTTCATGTACATACGTAGGTTCTGAACACCTATGCATGACTTCCAAATACATCACGATTACTCATGCAAACATAGACTTTAAGAATTTATTTTTAAGTAATCTCTACACTGAAGGTGGGGCCCGAACCCACAATCCCAAGATCAAGAGTCGCATGCTCCACCAACTGAACCAGCCAGGCGCTCCAAACATACACTTTTCACAGAAGCTTACGTTCTTGGCAATCCGGGAACATAAAGGAAAGCTTGAGAAAGGAGGAGAAATTCAATCTGAGGCTGAGGGCTAGCTCAGACTATGAGCCTACAAGAGAAGGAAGGATGGCGATAGCAGAGACAGGGAAAATGAGAATGTCACAGCATTACAGTGTCAGAAGAATTTTTACATTTTTCAGAGAAGAAAAGTGAGTTTCAGAGAGATGAGGTCAAAAGTCATACACTGGGACATGGTTAAGCTGGGTTCCCATCTGGGGTCCTCCAGCTTTAAGTCCAGTGTTTGGTCATCTCTCTAGACCAGGACTACTTATAGCAGCACAAGCCCCTATCCCAATTTACAATATTTTAAAACAGCCTTTGGGGTGGAACTCTGTAAATACATATTTTTTGAAAGTGTTTAGAGATTCCGTTCACAGGAAGCTCCCCCTTTGTCAAAACATTTACTCATCCACCAGAGGACCCAACTAGATTGGTTGGTCTTCTTTTCCTCTACCCAGGTCCATTGATTTATGTGTTTAGTGACCCCAATCTACTATAGACCCAGAGAGTCAAATCTTCTAGCTGCAGTTCTCAAAGACCCTTCCAGAACAGTGCCTCCCAAGCTTAGGTGCACATCAGCATCACTAGGAGAGCTCATTACAGTGCATGACTTTTGGGCTCCACCTCAAGCCCACTGATCAGAATCTCTTGGGGAACACGTGCACGGATGAGTTCCCCAAGTGAGTCTTCCGCAGTTCTTGCGGCACTGAGCCTCTTGGGGAGATGCTCATCAGCACGTGGCTGATGGAAACTGCCCACTACTTCCGCCTGGTGAGGCTAGTTTGCCTCTACACCTTCGTTAGTCTTCGCATTTTGGTTTGGCCTGTGGGTCTTGTCCAGTGGTTTACAGGTAACACGATTCCCCCATTTTCATTATTTTAGAATCCAGAATGTCCACCCACAGAAATTCTATGGTATATTTTTGGCTGCTCATGTTTTTGTATAGGTTACTGTGCAGCTTAAATTAGAAAACGGGTGTAAAAGCCCTGTGTAAACTGTAGAGTGTTGTACAAACGTAAGGGATTATTACTGTTATTATACTGTCCTTCACACACAGCCCGACACCCCCGCCTGTCCACCCATCTCTTTTGCCTTCTGTTGGAATTCGTAGCCTGGCAACAGTCTCTCTCATTGGTGTTCCCGCTTTTGCAAGGTCTTAGAGATGTCAATTATGCATAAAGGCCCTCAATGCCCAGCATTGCAACACATCCATTTACTTTTTATGGTTCCAGGACAAGTACATGGCTCCCTGTTTTCCTCAAACGGTGAATTGAAAAAGCAGTGCTCATGTATTGTGATCTCCAAATCTGCATGCAAAGGCATTTGAGCACAGGGTAGAGCAAGCTACCAGTATGGAACAACGGCATTGAGCCATTCTTTTTTTTTTTTTTTAATTTTTTAAAAGATTTTATTTATTTGAGAGAGAGAGAGCACGAGCGGGGGGGCGGGGGCAGAGGGAGAGGGAAAAGCAGACTCTCCGCTGAGCGGGGAGCCCCATGTGAGCCTCGATCCCAGGACCCTGGGATCATGACCTGAGCCGAAGGCAGACGCTTAACGACTGAGCCACCCAGGCGCCCCAGCACTGAGCCATTCTTATAAAAGTTCCATTTTATCTCAAAAGATCTCTGATCCAGCAATTCCTTTTTCAAAGCTATCCTACAAAAATACACAGGCATGCAAAAATGAGGTCCAGTGATATTCAGCTCTGCTTTAACAGAAAAAAACCAAAAAGAAACCTAAGCTTCAACAGACAGGACTGGTTAGGAAAAAAAAAAATACCTCTAATGGAATACTCTGCTGCTGTTAGAAAGAATGAAGCAGATCTCTGTTTCGTCACAGAAAGATTTCTATAATTTGTAAGCGAAAAAAGGAAGTTTTGTAATAAAAACTACAGTATGACCCCCTCTTTTTTTTTTTTAATAAAACAAAGCATAATTATATGTGTATTTACATTTTTACACTCGCACAAAAGAGAAAAAGTCTGAGAGGTTACTTCCTAAACTAATAAGGGATTAGTTCTAAAGGGTGATGGGAACCAATCTGACCACAGATTACCTGGTATACACCAGGCAGAGACAGCATTCTTAAAACATGTATAACACCTTACATCAAAAACCAAGTACATTGTGAATGAAATGATATTAATGTCTGGCTGGTGCTTCTGAACATAACCCAAGGTTGCAGTGCGAGGGGGTGGGGAGTAGTGAGCTGGGGTGTAAATGCAACAGGATTGGCCACGTGTTGAGAATTATTGAGGCTAAACGATAGAATATGTGGGTTTACTGTCCTATTCTCTGTATGCCCATATATATTTGAAATTTTCCACAATAAAAACACATTTTAAAGAAACAGTTACACTGAATTTTAAGCAATAAAAAGAGTTGCTGGAATGAGAAATCCTACAATTTAATTTGACCATAAACATTGTATAAAAATCAGTCAAATCTTATTTGCTTGTATTTTATTGAAGGAAAGCATTCTGACCAATGCCGGACAGTAATAGGCTGGATGCAAAAGCTTAGAGTCTGACCAGTAACTAAATTTAGGGGAAAATGAAACTGCTATAAAGAAAGGACTCTTCTTTGGCTCATGCCACCATAAATAAGCAAAAACACTTTACCCTGGTTAAAAAAAATGTGAAGAATGAGTAGATAACGCTAATCAAAGAAGAATGCACATTTGTGATAGATATGGTGGGAAAAAATGATATCATCCTGGAATCATGTAAAAACAGAGTCATAAGCGGCACCATGGAGTAACTTGGAGCTGCAGAGTGACTGACAGCACCCAACATAATTATTATTCATGACAACGGCAGACGGGGCTAAACTCCTGGTGGTCTTCACAGCACGCCAACAGCCGGCACAAGAGCGTCAGTGAGGAACTGGGGAGGCCTCTGAGGGCAGCTGCAGAGGTACAGAGCCAGGAAAATGAGGTGGAAGCTCAGAATAGTGTCACCATGCAGGGCAGGAGCCGGACAGTTAAGAAGGCTCTGATAATTAGCTCAGAGAAAAAGGAAGAAAGTCACCCTAAGTGAAACCATGGGAAGGCTGGGGTAACCAAAACGCTGGCTTGGCGGTCTCCCTCGAGGGGTTGTTTTCTGTGAGTTGAGTGAGCAGCAGAAACACTCCACAAACTTGGGCCATGGGCTGGACAACGTCACCGTGAAAGTCAAGGTGGCCAGCCAAGAAGTTTGGTTTGCCAAATGGACAAGGACTAAAGTGTCATTAAAAGATATTTTGTATCCTACCTAGAATTTAATCTTGGCGATCTTACAATGTCAATTATTTATAATTGTTCCTGTAATGTTCCATTTGCTTTGAAATGGATATAAACACCAGACCCGACATGCATAATTTCATCACAAGCAGCTGCAGCACCAGCCCTGCCGTGGGCCTGCCTCAGAGCCTCATGACCTAGAGAGGAGGGGGCCGTCGAGGGCCACTGGTTCATTTCTGATGTTGCATGTGCTGTCCCTTTAAAACCAATGCTTTCCTTTAGGTGAAGACGAGAGAGTTCTGAAACCGTATGTTCAAAGATGGGGGGGTGTCTTTTCCCTCTATATTTTAACAACTATATATAATTCAGTCATACAATGTGTTTAACTCAGAATTCATTACTTGTAAGAAGGACAGATAAGGGAGCTGTGATAATAAACCCACAGAGGAGGAGGAGGGGGACTTTACCACCTTCTTATAGATGGAATACTGCTGGTTATCACAGGAAACAAGTCTCGCAGGGCAATGGACAGGACACGCAGTGCTCAACACATCTCTAAGCGTTGTCTGCTCTGCTCTGTGATCAGTCCATTCATACATCCTGACATGAAGCAGCTGGGAGAGCTCTCAGACCAGTTCTCTTGTTTCACAGAGGCCCAGAGCGAAGAACTGACTTGCGTGTGGTCCCCCATTTACTAAGGGATGGATTCTGAATTCAAAGCCAAACTTCATGACTCTCAAACCAGTGCTCCCTTCATTGTATCAGTCTTCTCTGACATAAGAATGAAAACACAGTAAGTTCTCACATACACACACTCATGGTATAGAATCTAAGCTGCTTCTGGCTGGTTACTACCAAGTGAGGACCAGCTGAGTTCTGGTCAGCAGAGTACGTGTGCATGTGTGTGCAGCGTGCGTGTGTTTTATGGGAGCGGGTAAGGGACGCGTTGTAGAAAGCACTCTAGCGTCTCCGAGGAATGAGCAGCAAAAACGTTCGAAGCTGAGGCTACATGTTGAACAGTGTTACAGTTCGTGGATTTTACTTTTCTTCATAAAGGCTCAGTTCCTTGGAGTCAATGGGATGTGGCAGTTTCTTTAAAATGTGTTCTAGAGGGCGCCTGGGTGGCTCAGTTGGTTAAGCGACTGCCTTCGGCTCAGGTCATGATCCTGGAGTCCCGGGATCGAGTCCCGCATCGGGCT